AAATCGGAGACCAAAGTAGAAAAGCAAAAACCACCAAAGGTATGATAACAAGTACATCTCAGAATTAGCAGGTGCAACTGCCCAACTGCAAAAAAGAATTAGACTGCTGCACCTGCTCAAAAAAAGTTCAAAAGATAAATATCCTTTCTACGAGGTGAATGAAAATGAAAAGTGAAAACCTCTCAAGGGAAGGTTGCTGGTTTTCCATTGGATTTTTGAGAATTCATAAAAATGACACGAAAAATTCCAGAGCTCACATGCTTCCGATTTTATTGATATTGAAACATAACCAACGTTAATATCCATTCTCTTCTACTAGCACTACCGTTCCCCTCAGTGATTTTGGTAATCTCACCTTACCTCGTGCAAAAGCAAGCTTCCATAGCCGAGACAACACGCCCATTCGGAAGGCTAGGAGTCGAGTCGTCTGTAGGTGTACTACCTGTCCTCTGAGGGCTTACTATCTGACTAGGGACCCTCGATACCTACCGAAACCTTTCTGCACAGTCCTACTGTAGCACCTATTCCCTCTGAGGAATCGACTGTCGAATTGAACCTACGAAGTTTTACAGCTACCTGCACCGTAGGACCGACCGGGTGTTATAACGCTCAAACCCGATGGTAAGCTTTCAAAGCACTGACTGGCACTTTCATTATCATTGCTTAATTATTGAACATAAATAGTTCTTTTTGAGAAGTTGGATTTTTCAGGCAGAGAAGGTTAAATTAGAAAAGGCAGAGAAACTGGAAAAACAACAAAAACCAAAAAATACGGAGAACTTGGAAAAACAGCAAGAAACTGAAGAAATTGTGGCAGATGAAGTGATTATCGAGGCTCCTGAAGTTACTGGAAAAGTCAAAACGAGTGCCAAGGTAAGAGTCCCAGATTAAATTGGTGAAAATAATCAATGCAATGATGAATTCAGAGCCAAGAACATGCACACAATGCTGAGTCTTTAGTGGACACCATCAATCATCATCAACGCAGAAACATCGTCAGGCCAAAGTCTCTTAAGGTATTATAAAGGTTTAGCAATATGTACCTTTTTAATATAGCATTTCTCGATTCAAAGGCACAGTTCACGATAAAAATGATTCTGAGATTCCCCACAGGATGAATTTGTGGCCCCCGCATATACCATACTGGCACTCTCAGGTCGGAAAACGGTCTAATTAGGCAGTTATAAAGGCTCAAAGATTGGCCCGTGTGTATCCTCGGACGAGTTTCACCGGCATTGTAGAGGCTGCACCGATCATAAGGGAACCCATATAGGAGGACTAAACAACTTGTCATGACCTATCGCAACAAAGAAAAACAGTTCTGTAAAGTTCTGGCTTGATGTATTCAGCTCTTTGTGCAATTGTAATGACTGAAATCTCGTCCGAATACCCTCCCATATTATTTCCGTCATGACAATCTCGTCCGACCTCTATTTTCCCTGTTTTTGTGGAACCATATTTTTCTCGGAATCGGCTAGTTCTCTCGCTTTCTTTACTACTGATGAATTATTCCCAATCTATACTTCCACTTTTCGAGTAAAACGGGTACCTCAAAATTATCGTGAACTGTGCTTTCAATGCAGAAGAGGACATGGAAATTCCTCAGTCCGATTGTTTCAATACACTTTTATAGTAGGAAAGTTGGAATGTAAAATAATGAGCTCTCACAATACCAGTATCCCAAAGTGTAATGAAAAGACCAAGATGGAATTAAATACAAAAACGAGAAAAAATCAAATCAAAACTCCTCGAAAATTAAAATGTTTAGGTGCTCAACGCCTATGAACAGTGCAAATTGGAGTGTAAAAAACAACGGGACAGTGTACAGGCACAGGAGGTGAGATATAAAAAAGAAATGATTTTTTAGATTCTATTTTCAAAAGCATTTTAATCATCCAATGCACTTCTGTGCAATGGCAATTGCTCATTCCATTTGGAAAAAATAAAAGTAAAACTCAAAATAATGAACTTTCATGAATGAAAGGCTACAATATACACAGTGAGGATACGCTTAGACAGGCTTGTTTTTAATGAAAATAAATGAACTATTGAAAGATGTCAATAATTCCTCTTCTGTGATTCCAAGGTGCACGGTTGTTTCACTTCCACATCTTTGCCAATAGGTGGAGGCGGTGTAGTGGCAAGCGGCGCACTTCACACACGCACGGTCGCGGGTTCGAACCCCGAATTGGAATCCGCCTAGACCAACCAAGCCTTCCACCCCTCCCGAGTCGGTTAATTGATACCAGACTTGTCTGGGAGGATAAAGCACTGACTTGTACATTGGCTGGCCACTGCAAGCCATTGTATAGGCCACATGCGCATTGAACCCGCCACCGATTCTGAATGGATGTCGAATGGTGGGTGCATCCTTCAGACGGGATTGATTGACGCCCCAAGGCTTTATCCTATGACTTTAGAAATATTCGGAATGAAGTTATTCTGCTAGAATTCTTTAGATAAAAATGACCACGACCAGTTTTGGAGTAGTGCCAAGTGTACACTACAAGGTTCATGGGCCAGTAATCGAATCCAAAACCGATATCCGTTCAGGTCAACCAAGTGTTCCAGCTCTGTGGGGTCAGTTAATTGACACCAGAATCAGCTTTCCCATTCAGAGGCATTAAAGGTATATTCTCAGAAATGGAACAGTCACAAAACGGAACTATGAGTCTTAGGGAGTTATGAACAGCTTTAATCAAGAAGAATGAAAACTCACCAATAACATATCCATTTTCAGTATGTCGAGCAGCTTCGAGCAGAACTAGCAGCCGCTGAGGCAGCATTGGCTGCAGAAACTGCTGCCGCTACATCTGCTTCTGAAAAAGCTCAGCCTGAGCCGATGTTCGTGGAAGCTTAACAATTTCATGCCCAAGACCATTTCGAGCTATATCTTGTTCACATTGCCTTTTCCTTATAAATAATTAGCCTCATCTCTTGTAATTTTGTTTTTGTGAATAAACATTGGTTTTCACCTAGGTCATGTTCACTGTACTAGATGTACTGTATAAACCAAAGTAAACAAACTTCAAGAGGCTCGATGAATGCCATTAAACGGCTATCTGAAGTTAATTTCCAATCCAATTCGTGAGCTAGCAAAGGATGTAATTCTACGGAACTTAATCAAATAATTCCAGACCTATTTTGGGAAAGTGCTATTAACATTAATTAATTCCAGCTAAAAATAGACCTGGAAGCATAATCCATTTTTCATTTTCGTTCCTGATTAAATGCAGTCCGGGAAAAGAGGTTTTATTATTGGTAATGGAAGTGTATCGGCTCATAACTCTCAAAAATATCCCAAAACAAACAATTGACATTTCTCAAAAATCATAGAACTAATACGAGAAGACGAGGAATCCCAGAAGCTATAAAATAGCTGTAAGATCTTTGAAAGTAACACTCAATGCACAACAAAAACAAATAATTAATGAGAATCACACTTTTCACAATACTTGCACGAAAATTAACATTAAAAACTATACAGGAATAGGAATATTGGCTATAACCGTCTTTAAGATCTCTGCCGTCTGCTTCTTCCAATGTTTTGGATCCTTCGAGACAGCCACCCATAACTCACCGTGTCGTGGCTCTGCATCTTCACACTTCTTGATAACTTTCTGTTGTTCTTCCTAAAAGTAACCTCATTTCACGAAAAATATCACACAAAAGAAAAAATAAATTCTGTAAATAACGTGAAATAAACGTAAATAGCACATCAATAAAATGCAAATGATTCTAACCTCTGTGCCAAGTAACAACTCAAACTTGTAGCAATGCGCATATGCATCCCCATTGTCTGGATCTACGTTGATTGCACGTTGGAACCATTCCCGAGCTTTCTTCACCTAGAACACATCAGCACTGTAATCTCAGCTACGAAGTAAAAATAATAAAAAGTCAAGTTATGAAAGCGAACCTTTCTCTCGGACCAGAACAAGCGAGCAGCCGCCACAAGCACATGAGGATTGTGCTCACATCGCTTGAGCGCATCCACTGACTTTGCCCTTCGGCCATGTCTTTCTTCCATCCAAATAGCCTCTGCCCAGAGCCGTCCTAAACTGTGGAAATTCTTGACTTTTTCGATTTTGATTTTTCGACTTCCGTTTCTGAACTTTCATTCAAAGAAAGTATTCTACGTAAGTATACTTAATATATTAATACTGTATAAGCCATATCCTTACAAAAATCAATATCCCACCTGAACTTTCACACTCCTGGAGGGCCCTAGCCAATCGTTCTGAAGCCAGCTCGCGCAAACCAGCACGCATCTCGAGCCGCACCGATTCCAACCATAAGTCCTCATTCCGTGGATTACGAATACGAGCCTAGAATATCACGTAAAGGGATGAATGACGGCTCTATTTAGAAAAAAAGATCAAACACAACGAATATAAGTTAGCAGTTAGCTGAAGATGCACTAACTACATCTAGATGTCCTTCTAGGTTTCATAGGAGGTTAATAGACTTCTAATTGCTACTATAGACTACAAAATTATTGAAACATTCAAACCTTTTCCAAATCAGATCTGGCTTTGATAATTTGCTTTTGTGATTCCTCCAATCGACTCAAAAGTATCCAAAGGGGAACAGCCCCTGGGCACCTCTTGATCTAAAACAATAGAATGCTTTAAAAAAAAATCATTACTCTCCAACCCATACGAGTAAACAGACTGACTCCTTCAGTGAACACTTTCCTAGCCTCTTCAGCGTTATCCTCTTGAAGCAATATTTGTCCCAACATCATGTAGAATTTTGCGAAATCCACGTACCTGCAATGGCTTCCCATTAACTTAAGAAGCACACTATAAAGCTCATAGCTATACACGCAATCATCACAAAAACATACTTGCTGAGACCTTCCTTGATAAGTTCCTTAGCCTTATCCAAATCGCCCAGACACCACTCTAAGCGGGCGCTCTTCATCCATATTCGAGCTGATGGAGCATTACGTCGAGCTTTTTCAAGAAGGCGGCGGGCTCGGGCAAATTCATTGTTTTCAGATTCCAGTTTTACTGCAGCCATCCAGATTCCTTCAGAGTTAGCGTTATGTTCGAAAGCCTGAAAGGTGAATGGATGACTGACTTGTGAAATTCTAAAATCTCTAGAATATTTGAAAGCTTTGGAAAACTCAAAAAAAAAAAGAAAACTGAGAGCTTAAGCGTTACCTTTGCCAAAATTTCTCGAGCTCCTGAAACGTCTCCATGAAGCCATCTTGATTTAGCGTACATCAACCACAAAACTTCAACTTGCGGGCAGGAAGCTGTAGCGTCAGCCAGTACTTTCTCATACTCCTCACTGCAAAGACAGACATGTGCGGAAGGTGTTCAGGATGAAAACAGAGTCATAATTTTAAAATACAAATAAAAATTAGCACCGTATGAAATTATGGTAGGAGAACGAAGAACTCTTCGAAAGAAATGGAAATAAAGTACAGCAAAGTATCACTCACGTTGTTCCATGGGTTTTTTCGAAATGTGCAGCGGCCAACCAGATTCCTTTTCTTTTCTCGACGTTTTGCAAAGCATGCGCATAGACTGCTCGAGCACAAGCAAGGGCTCCTGGAATGCACCCCTTCATGATAGCAAAACTCAATTCATTAGCGAATGCACCTTCTACAGAAAAGGGGTACGACTACAAAATCATTGCATATGGTCCCGTTCACAGAAGCGCATATGCAGTATTACTTTGAGGATACAGCTTACTAAATCTGCTGTCAAATAGCAAAAGCTGTCGAGCAAAAGTTATTCCCAAGTTCAACATTTCAACTTTCTATCACAGTGTAACAACACAACTATGAAGAATAATGCTCGAAAATAAGGTTCCATACCCTGCTTCGCAAAGGAGTCAGCATCCTCGAGCCACGTCGCTTTTTTATCTTCGTCCTCAACACCTGCTCCGATCACATGGCGGCTTAAAAGAATAATTTACGTTTCTTCTATTCATTTGAATCCTATGGGAATCATATGATCCTAACTACTTTGACGAATTTACTTCTACTATGACTGATAAAATGCAAAAAGACAATATTTCATCAAAATTTACATTATAGCCTGACAGGTCAGCGTGCAACCAGCTCTTTCAGCGTCAATGGCGTCCTTCATCCAGTGCTCCCTATTCAACTCTACCATATTCGCAGTCAAAGAAGTCAGTGCCTGAAATACGAGCATTCTTCAAACTGTAGCGCAGACAGACATTCGTTTGGTCGTACCTTCTGCACTATTCGATCAACCATATCCTTTTGACCACGAGTTTCTTCCAGACGAGCGGCGCATAACCAAATCTGACGATCAGTTGGAATGTGTTCACGAGCCTTGTTCAGAACTTTTCGAGCGTTTTCGTACGTTTCAAGGCGGGCAAGAGCTAGCCAGAGCTCGGTACTCGAACTGAATGGAAAAAAAACATTAAAATAAAATCACATTCGTCGAAGAAATATGGGCTGGTAAAATGAAGCTGAAAACCACATAGAAAAGAGCAGAGTGGATTCAACCTGCAGCATTCCACCGCACGAGTGAGCAGAATACGCGCATCATCTGGTTCTTCCAATTCAATTGCTGCTTTCCAAAGACGAACTGACGTGGGTATCTGCTCCAAGGCTTTACGGAAGACCTTCAAAACGGAAAAAATCAGACCCAATAATTACAACAATATTACAAGCTCGTACTTTCTTCTTCGCTTTCAAATCAGTTTCGATTTCGGCCGTCTTCATCCATAATCGAACACTGTGTGGCATCGACCGCACTGCATTTGCTACGATGGCCTTTGCAGTTTCTGGAGGATGAAGCCTGGAATGGGATTCAATTATACAAAAATAAATGTTCGAATGTCTGACCACCGTACCTAACAGCTTCAAGCCACATATCCTCACTCTTTTTGTTCTTTTCACAGCCCTCCATAATAAGATGACGAGCGACCTAAAAATCTTCAGGGCATACTCTGGAGGCATATGTTTGAGAAAAAAAATTCACTTGTCTTGAAAACCGTGATGCTTCACTTTCTCTAGTAAAAAAATGATCAACGAAAAATGTAAAGTGACGAAAAGATCACTGGTGGGAGTCCAACCTGAAGTTTCCCGACAACTTCTTCGAGACGAGCACTAGCAATCCATGCCGGAGGATGCTTCGGATTCGTCTCACGCACTGATTTCAACAGCATCCGGGCCTGTACAAAATATCTCATACAGACGAAAACGGGTTGCGAAGAAATATTCAAGATTACCTTCTTGACATCGTTAATGTCACCTCCATATTGTGGAATCATAGACTGGAGGTCGGTTAGATAACCCTTCGGATCAACAACAGTCTGACCTGAGACGGAGTCTGACACCTAAACTATGATTTGAAGGAGATTTCAACTGCAAGAAAGGATGTGATTGTCATACTTGATTCAGCTTGATGTCCATAATTTTATTCCTGGCCTGACCAATCTTAATCAGATCGAGATCGTGTCCAGTAGAAATGCCCGAATTAATCCCTGTTTTCCATCCACCTGAAATAGTCCAAGAAACGAGATAAGTATTTCTTTTAACCCAAATTTGTGGAAGAGCAACATGCACGATGACTTAAAAGTTCTTCTGAACAAAATTGCTATTAGACTTAAGTATCAAAATTTGGGAATAAACAAAGAAGAGAAATCAGTTTTGTACACAAAAATGTTTGGGAAAAGCAATCTTGAAAGCTGAAACCAAGACAAACGTACCTAGTGACGTCTGCATTCCACCAAAGGTGCTCTGGAACCCTGAGCCAAAAGGCGTAGTCATTCCGGACTGAACGCGGCTATCAAGCACTGATGTCGTCTCCCCATAACTCATCGACATTGCAATTAGTGAATCTGGTACAGGAGTGAATCTGAAGAGCTTAATATATTTACTGCATGCAAGTATACATGTAATCAGAAGTAAACAGGAAGCAATAAAAGCACATAATACAAACTTGGTGTGCAACAGCGGACGCATAAAAGAGAGTGAACCTGAAGAGGTGTGACTCAATGTCAAAAAGCAAGGGATAAGCATCAGGTATTATCCAGCAGTTTCACGATCGCTCACTGATCTTATGCATTTAGTGTTGTAGTTCAAAAATTCAACTTGTAGTGATACAAGCACTGCATATTAAATGTGAGCCAGAGTAATGGCACGGGTACCACACCAAAACAGCGCAAAAAGTTAGGTAGAAAAACTTATTATGCTTAATCGGATACAAAAAATGTAGGAAATTGCGCCCAAGACAAAATAAACATATTTCAAGGAAGAGTTGTGCTGACGAATGGAAAACTTACTTTTCTGCTCTTGGATTGCGTTTAGCTTTGTTTCTAGAATCTCCTACTTCGGGTATGGCAACCCATTCGTCTTCAGTGACCTAAAAACATGTATGTACCAAAAAATATGCAACATCACTTCATGTTGGCACTTTCAAAATATTTCCATTCAAAAAGGAATGGGTAGAATACTTCTCTAGAAGTGATTTTTTTGAGAAATTTCTAGTTGGACCCCGAAAACATGAAGAACTTGCAAGATTTCCCGACCACCTGCATACTTATATACAGACAGGCACCAAAGTAGTGGCAGAATTACCTCGCTAAGCTGTCTTTTCAAATCAGAGAACTCCTGCTGAATCTTTGGCCTTTCTTTGCGGTACTTCTCAATAGCTTCTTTATACTTCTTCTCTCTGAAACCCAGAAGTGGATAGATATTGACAGTCAAGCAATAAAAATACCAAGAAATATAATTATAATCATATCCTCCAACTATCTCTTAGTTTCTTAATTATAATAATAGTAGCAATGACAGCAGTTATAGCATATGTAACTGCGATTCACCTATATTCTCGCCGTCGCTCATCTATTCTAGTCTCTACTGCTAGATAAACTTCATCCGCTTCTTCGTCTTCTTTGTCATAAGGATCTTTTGCAAACAAGCTGCCCGCGTATCCTTCGAACTGAAACAAAGAGGCTCGAATTTGCAAAGTGTTGGAGAGTGTAATCTTCAAAAATTACCTCATCATAATTGTTGTCATTAAGCTGTTCATCGGGATCATCTTTGGTTTCCTCTTTTGCTTTCTTCGACGGCGGTCCCGTGCCGGCCTCAGGGACATCAGTTGCTTCTCTCGCAGGGCCGATATCAGATCGTGTCGTGAACCCGGTAGCACCTGAAAAGCTTCAACATACCATAGACTCTCTTCTAACATTCTCATTCATTCTCTGACTAACGTCTTTTTAAAAAGTTGCCCATGGCCAAAATTAGGCATAAGAAAGCGATGCTGAGAATGAAAGTTTCTGTATACCTCTTCCTACTCCAGGAACATAACCTGCCGGAGCAGGCATGCCCATGAAGTGCTTTTTGGTCTTGTTCACGAGAGATCCAGGTATTGTAATAGACATTTCCCCTGGAAAATAATTGATTTAAAATTAAAAGAATTAACACAAATAAGAACTGATTTTAAATGTCTTTTATATAAGAACCAGTTAAAGCGTTTAGGACAAAGTTAGCAAGAAAAAATGCAAATTAGGAAACCAAGCTTCACTGAGCTCTGCACAACGAACAAATGAAGGATAAAAGCTACAGAACATAACAGGTTAACATTTCGAACGTTGACCTGTATTTGACGTCAGTTGGAAGACTTTGGCCGCAACTGGTACCCACACAGCGAATAAGTCGCTTTCACAGCTTCGAATTCGAATGTTTTCATTGTTTTCTATTTTCCCCGGTCAAGTTACTTCTCGAATTGCATCAGAAGCTTTCCATTGACAACTTACACCCTTGTCTTTGTATGGATTTATACTAGATCATCCAGATTGGGCTTTTTACGCCATTCCTTCCTTTTCGTGTAACGCTCTTAATAAAGTTTGCTACAAGGTTTATATCGGGGTATACACACGTTTTTCTTCTTTACTAGCTTCTTCTACCCATCGATCGTAGAATGTTCACTTAAAATTGAAGATTGCAACTTTTTACTATCGTCCCGACTAGCTCTTCAAAAGTTCGCTTGACCAGAGGAAGAGAGAGAACAGCTCGATGGGAAGGATTCCCTGAGATCCCCTAACAGTTAAGGGACTAATACCTACTGATTTCCACTGTGTTGATGTACAGACGCTCGATAACCTTTATCCATTGAAATCATGAAAGACGTGTCATATCGTATTACATTCTTGTCGCCGCATTTTTGTTAACTTCATATTCTTCTAGGGCAACATTTGGAAGAGAAATTATAGTTGCGCAGTATGGATATCAACAAGTTGAAGTTTGCTGTCAGCTGTTCTAGTAATATGAACCGAAGTATGGAGGCCCACAGTTTCATGCAGTAGGTGTTCTTTCAGATGAAATGGTTGTTTTGTTTACGTATTCGCCAACGAAGGCTGTTTTCAGAAAACGAGGCTTCAATATTGAGTCATACGGATCTGGTAATCAGGTGAAACTACCCGGCACAGCTATAGATAAACCAAATTGTTATGAGTTTGGAAAAACAACCTACGAATTCATCTACAATGATCTCAAAGCAAAAGACTCCGCATAGTAGGTAGTCTACAGTCTTTGATGATTATCTTCTTCATGGTTCTATTTCAGCTACACTCAAAATGGTCTTTTGAATATGCTTGATCGAAATCGTCGCATAAAACCTGCTCCCCAGAAGTTTCAACACGAAGACAAAGAGTTTGACGTCATTATTTGCCTTGAGGAAAGGGTTTACGATCAGGTGACTTTGCATTATTATGTCGTATTTATGGAATTCGCACCAATTGTTAAGTGCGATTTTGAGGACCTTGAACGGGCCCTTTTGAAACGTGAAATGAAATGTATATTCTACGTCACCATTGTAGGTCGTGTTAGGCTAGTAGCAGTTGGAGGGTTTCGTATAGCACGATCAGTATTTCGGATGATTAAATGCTTGACGGGGTGCAAACCGTCTCTCTCTTTCCGTACCACCATGACATTACTGAAATGTGAAAGAAACGCATTTTCTTTATTTGAGTGCACGGCGTTTCACAGGTAGTCGATCATCTTCACACTAGGCCAACAACTAGCGGAAATCCGGCCCACGTCATCAATATTGACATCGAAGACAACCCGGAAGAAGCTACCATAGGAGCATGGCTTGTTTGTGAATTATGTGGAAAGGTGAGTAGAGCGGTCTTTTTGAAATCTGGGTTGGACGTACGAGAAGGAAATACATGAATGAAAGGATCGAAGGAGCGACAAAAATGACTTGGTTGCGTAGTTGAATTCGGGTTAGGTTTGATGTAGAAGCTCCAAATGTAATGTTTTTTACTCGATTTCAGTTGGATGAGTGTGACGACCTGGACAACGAAATCGACGAGATCCTGGCAGACTTTGAAGCGAAAAATCAGAAACGAAATATATTGCACACCATATGTTTTTACTAGATGTACAGTTCTTCTATGTTGTACAGGACCTCATTCTCTTGCATTTCTTTGAGCGTTGAGTCAGTTGTTACACAAAACCTGAAGGCTCTGATGGATTGGATGTATTATCCGTCACATCATCATCGCTCATCGCAAGTGATCAAAGTTTCCACCTTATTTGAATTACCGCCGTCAATTTGCCATTGCCTTCGTGGAGGTAATTAGTACGTCTGGCTATTTATTGGTTCCGTTGAGATGAGGTAACGTGTGTGAAAGGACCTCTTGCTCAAACTATGTAAAGAAAATCAGCGATTGGGTCGATTGCATGACATCAGGAACTGTTTGTGTCCTATGTATAGAATCATGCTAATATTTGCCTCAGGGGTCGGCTGGAAGTTCAATTTCACTGACAATAAATTGTCCTTTACTCATTATCTGATTGTGAGGTTTGCGATATATTTTGCCATTCCGATGAGTAGAATCTCAGAATGACATCTTGACATTATGGTTCTTACTCTCTCTCAATCCTCACGGTGGATACCGTTACCTTCTGAGAGGGACATTCCACCTCTTCGAGAGGTTTACGGTTTCGTTGTCATTCGCTGTTTTCATTCCTATTATGTTCCTGGACCGTCTATCAAACTGTTCTCTCTTTCGGTCGAATAGAAATCGATTTTCATGATTTTCTTTTTCCATTTTGAACCATTTTCAATTAGAGCTAAAGTCTTTTTTTTACTGGTGTATAGATGAATGTGTAGTGCAGGGAGTAAAGATCGTTTTGTCAAAAATGAAAATTTGTTACACTGTTCAATTTTTAAAAGTCTTAGAAGTGCATACTGCAGTGAACGTGCAGAGCGTCCTGCTCGCGTTTTGTACTCTTCTTTTTTTTCTGGTCGACAGTTGCCCCAAATGACGGCTAACCATAGCTGAAGTTGTGACAGTTGTCAATCATCGAACTGCTGATCACCGTCTTAAGCCGATCAAAACGTGAGCTTTTGGAAAAAATGTTTTTTTCAGTGTAATGCTCTTTGTTGTCCTTTATTAACGGTTTTGAATAATTCTTCAAAGCAACGGGAAAAGAATGCGTTATACAGCCAATTCGATTATTTTGGTTGAACAATGTATCGCCTCTGTGGCAGTTTCTCAGCGGCTCCAACCGGAGGATTGCACAAAGACCGGTCGTCCATGTAGAGCTGAAAAATTAGTGCTGAGCACAGCAATGTTGTACGGTATTTATTGGTAGGCTGTCTGTAGTGCTATATGGTAAGCATGAGGAAGGCGACATAGTGTAATCTTTCGATCATACCAACAAAGGGAACGCTCCCTGAGCCCTCTCCCTTTGTTGGTTCGACCGATTTCGATCGCAGTTGCTTGGGATCACAAAATTATTGGATGGATAGTGGGCTGTTTTCACTGTCTAAGCAGCAATATCTTTAGAGAGTAACATTCCAGAATTACGGTGCCACTGGCTGTAACAGGCCCGACTTTGTTTTGTTTTGTTTTGAAGACTCTGGAACCGAAAAACTGGTTACTCTCTAAAAGAGGGAAATGTATGATCTGATCAATTATTGATACTTTCGCTGCTGAATCGTTTTTCTCGGTCTGGGGTGTATTATGGCACAGCAGAGTAGGGTATTAGCCAATATATGAAGATGTGAAAGTGATAAGTGAACTGATGAAGACCGGTGAGAAGTGGTAGAAAGAGCCACTGGGTTAGTTGTGTATTTCGTTATATCGTCTTTGAGTGGAGGGATCATCGTACTTGGCTTTTGAGGGATGAGGTCGTGTTGAGACCCAGTTTTGGGAGACCGGTGGCTGTGCTGATGAACAATTTTGTTTTGATGACATATTTGACCTTGACTACATGTGATATAGAGAGCGAAGTAAGGTCATATATAGGTAGAGGGGATTAAAAAGCGATTGTTAATGATTTGTTGATAAGAGGCGTCTAAAAGGAAATATCATTAGAATTGAAGATAAGAGCTGTTAAAAATAAGTATCTATAAAGGAAATGAAGTTGAACCAACTTTCCCGATGACAGCACAGCTACGATTATTCCTCATGAGCTAGTAGACCGCAAGGGAATCACTTTCGTTTTTTTACTCATGACTAGCACTGATCTTACACCTTTCTATCTGTTCAGTAGGCCTAATGTGTAAGTTCGTCAGCACTACACACTCAATGAATATTTATGAAGGGAAATAAAAACGGTAATTGGTTACATCCTAGAAAAAAGAAAAACGGTGGGGCCAAGATATCGATGTAGAGAAAATCCAGGTTCCCTATATTGTCGCTCTAAGGGAGAGATACCTGTTGTGCCTCCAGGTCTATGGGTTCGTTTGTGTGGGTCCGATTCGAAGAATGGAACTGGGTTTTTAGCTCTATCAGGTACGAGATTATAAAAAAGGCCCTTCCCGGGCACGAAAAGCATTGGGAACAACAAGGAATGATTTGCCTTTAAAGGCATTATATAAATTTGTTTCAATTGAAGTAAAGTCTTTTCTCTCCCTTAGGAAGATGATAGTTTCCACGAGTCCAGTCAAAAACGCTGAATAAGCTGCAGGTCAAACCTGGAGTCGTCGTCTTTCATGAGCTTTGTGAAGAAACTTTTCCTTGTAGCAATTATTACAAAAATCAGAGCGCATCATCCTAAAAA